CCGCGTGCCGCTCCTCCGCGTGCGCGAGCAGGGCGGCATGCGTCGTGAAGACGGAGTGTGGGCATGCGTCGCAGGAGTACAGCCGCGGGCCATGCGCCACCACCGCGTCATCCTCATTGTCGGCGTCATCTTCTTCCTCTTCCTCTCCCTCCACCACACCAGCGTCCTTAATGTCGTCGTCGTCGGCGTGGTCTTGTTCCTCTGCTCCATGTTTTTCCCCCACGGCCTCCACCTTACCACCATCACCATCATTCCCTTCCACTGCCGCCCCACGGCCGCGGTGACTGCTGCTGACATGGTCAATGTCAGTGTCACCTTGGCACCCCTTGCCAAACCGACTACGTGGTCCCGCCGCAGCATTATCACCAACATTACCACTGCTACAACTACTACTACTGCCACCACCACTATTACCTGTGGAAGCAGCATTTGTGACAACCGAGCGGCTGCTCTTTATCTCCCTTCGCCCACCCACCACTACTGCGGCACGTCGCCCCTCTTCTTCCTCCTGGAAGGCGTCCAATGTAATGTCATCCTTTTCACCAGCGTACCTCGCGTCTTTATGCGGTGGAACATCCACCTGCTCCTGCTGCTGTTGCTTCGGCTCATTCTCTCCTTTTTCTTCTGACACCTGTTGGAGCAGACGGCGGTACTTGCTGGTCATCGTTTCCGTTCAGTCTCTATCTCTCTCTCTCTTTCTCTCTCTCTCTCTCTCTCTCTATATATATATATATATATATGTATATATGCCTCTCCCTAGGCGCACGCCACAGTGTTTCTCTTGAAAAGTAAGCACAAGGAACATATACACAAAATATAAATGAGCAGATAAAGGGCAAACACTACCACAAGAACCAAAGCAAAGAACAATGACACGTAAATCCACACGAGGGAACAATTTATAGATGGCGAACCTTTTCCACGGCACGCCATTTACAAAAGCGATGTAAAAAAAAGAAAACATACACACACCGACCCAGAAACACACAGGCAGAGAACGGCTCGTGTGGCTGGCCTGTGCCAGAAACAAGAGGAAACAGGGCACAAGAGAAAGAGAAAGAGAGACCAACACTAACACAGGACGAGAAGAGAAAGAAGGGATGAAAAAGGGCCATAAAAGATTATGAGCCTCTTCCCCTGGCCACCTCCCCCCATTTCTTATTGGTAGTTATCAAAATCCAACTGAAAGTACGCTTTTCCTGACTCAGCTAAGCTCTCTTCATATTCCCCCTCCGCTTTGTTCCTCTTCCAACTCTCTTTCTTCTTCCCTCTTACACACACACACATAGTCACACAGGCATAACTCAAATAAGACGGCGTAGTTCAACAACGGCCATGCCCACGCATGTCACCAGAAGCCGTGCACGCAGCCCTGCCCAGAGCCCGCTGTATCCCTCCTCCTCCACAATTGTGCGGGCACAGTGCACCATGCTTGTGTACCTTCGTGTCTTAGATGACGCGGTGAGTTGCATGCGGCGACTGATGACCTCAAACGGTTGCGTGAGACAGCCAGCCGCGATGGCAAGGCAGCGGGCAACGGCGTACGGATAATTTTCCTGCAACGACAGCGGCAGCATCTGCAAAGCATAGTAGTAGGTGCCGCGGTAGAGGAAGACCGCCATTGCATCCAGCCCAACTCCATTGTAGAACCCACGGAAGCCCCACCGCTTGCGGATATCTTTCGCGGTTTCTGTTGGCGATACGTACTTGTACTTCTCCTCTACCTCATCTTCTGTTGTTGATTTTCCTTCTTCCGTTGTGGGGGCGACGATATCGGCCACGTAGTTTGTTACAATAGTGTTGTGTACTCCCGTCAAAGGGGTGGCCAACAACACCGCCGTGGAGGTGGAGGCGAGCGAGATGGTGACGTACAACCACATTGGCATCGTTTGCACAAAACCCACCGGAATCACCCCTTCAATGAGTCCAGCCACCAGCGATGAGCTCAGCTCTTCCACCACAGCGGACGGCACTGCGAACACGGCGTCAGTGAGGAACCCGCGGAAGAAAGAGAGCACGCCTTCCCGCGTGTAAATGCGCTTCACACAGGCGTAAATACCACCGAATCCCGTGGGCGGCAGACGCCCCTCACGCACCAGCTCTCCCTCCACTGCCGTCAGCACAGTGATGCGGTAAGACGGCGCCATCACGGCGCGCTGCAGGAATGCACCGACGAGCGAGGCAATCATATCAATTATGACCTCACCCGCTGCTGGGCCTTGCGTATATAACTGGCTGTCCCCCATAATGTCCCGGTTTACTTGTGTGAACAAATAATGTCTTTCAATAAACGACACAATTTACTTAACACACGTTTCGTTGCTGTTTTTTTTTCCCCCTTGCTTCTGTACGCACGCTTCCCTCCCCTTTCCTTGATTCCCTCTGTAGAGAAAACCTCTGGAGACTGATATCTGGGGTACATTAAAAAGAAGAATAGAATAGATTAATAAACTCTTAAGTGAATCTACAACATACCCACGATACTCAGTCCGGTATTCTTTCTCTTGTCTAATGAAGCCATCTCCGCTCAGCAGCGAAAGTGAGCCAACACCAGATTTCTCATCCATCCACACAGAGAGAACCCGCTAGCTACAGGAACCAAATAAGTATCCGGTCACAAAAAATCAAAAGAAATATCGGAATGGAAAGAGAATGAGCTTTCAGGAGGAACGTCGCCTCAAACCGACAAACATGGTATCAAGTAGAGCGCCGCACACATCCCGCAGTAAACGCATGCGCAACCCGGCCCACAGTGCTGTGATGCCATCCTGTCGTACAATATTCTGCGCAGATCGCCAGAACCAGCATCGTTTCCTCTGCCTCAGCTCCGTTGCTGTCGGGAGAAGTGCTGTGCGTGCACGCATGACCTGAAAGGGCTGAAATACGATCCCACACATCAAGCGCACACCGAGAGTTGAGGCAAGCATGGCTGCAAGACGCCACCCAGGCTGTGAGCATTGCACTCGGATAAAGTGCTCTAATTTCGGCATGATTAGCAATCCCACGATTTGTGTAGTGATGCTTTGCGCGTAGACAGCGGCGACGTCAATATCCACACCTGTAAAGAAGAGTCCCTTCCAACCATATTGCTTTTTCACAGCTGTTGCAGCTTCCGACGACGAGCTATACAGGTACGCTTCTTCTACATCTTCTTTTGCCAGCGTCTTGTTCCCATTGGGGGCAACAATATCTGCAACATAGTTACATAACACTGTATTCTTGTACCCCACAACAGGCGCCGTGAACACCACCCGAAGTCCGGGTGCTGCGACGCCCAGCATGACTGCAGCGGACCAAGAGAGAGGGGCTAACTGCTGCTGCAGCTTCGCAATACCGAGGGCTACCAATATCTCGGCAATGTACGCTGGTACCGCTAACACCATGTCTTCGAGGCACCCACGGAAGAGACCCAAGACACCCTCCTTTGTGATGATGTAATACACACAACCGCGAATGCCACCGAAGCCGCCGAGGGGAAGCCGCCCATTTTTTACAAGTTCTCCCTGAGCGCACTGCAGTAGGAAAACACGACTGAACGGCGCCCGCAGCCAATTTACAATGACTACACGAGCAATACTACCGGAAATACGTCGCAACATGACGGCCAACTCCGCACCAGGGTTCAACTGGTTATGCTCATCCAAGTAGAACTCCGGGTCGTCGGGCTGGTACGACCGGCTGTGCACCCTAGCTTCATGCTCATCTGGCATCCCTCGTGATCTTCTTCAAAGAGTCAATGAGTAAAACACAACGGAATACGTGAAAGAAACCTGTGAGCCTTGGAAGAAAGAAATCTTTTCATGCAATAAATGTAAATAGTAAAAGATCGGTCTTACCAGCGAAAAAACTTTTGGGGTGTTTCGGCGATGTGACAGGTACCTCATGTCACATTATGGATTTTCCCCCCTCACTCCCCACCCCCTCTCTTCTCCCTCCAATACTGTAGCCTAATTCTCGCCGCCGCCGCCCAGTAGTTCTTGCAGCACGCGGGCCGCACGGTCATCCCTGGCACGCGCAGACCCGTCCTCAGTGGCCAAAGCCTCCCTGACGTCTAAGTGCCCTACAATAGCTTTCCGCTCCTCGGAAGAGAGATTACGGCGCACCCGCGTGGCATGCTGCATCACAGCTTCATAGAGGCGATGATTGCTCGGAGAATCTCGAGCTACTTCCTGAATAATACGTGATCGACCACTTACAAGTGCGACCTGCAGTGCCTTCTGCCAACTTTCGTGCCAACGATCGCGTAGCAGTACCGTGATGGCTTCCTCCTCCTTTTCAAACAACAGCGGCAGCGTTGTACCAGGCGTCTTTTCTAGTTCAGGCAGAGATGGACCTTCTACACCTGCTCTGGGTGCTTGGGCAGCTGCCTCCTTCAGCATCGAACACGCTGCGTCCGCCACTATTGTCTTGCCCACGACACCACAACGCAGAAACTGCCCGCACATCTGTGCCGTTGGCATCACTGCATCCCCAACAGCTGCACGCCACATGGCCCACAGGTCCACCGCCAACTCTGGACGTCCGCCAGTGCGCAAGGCGAAGCAGGTCTGAGTGAAGATGTAGCCATCCACCCCGTGGGAGCCGAGCGACTCAAACAGCCGAAGCGCCTCACGCCAGCGCTTTGCATCTGCGAGCAGTGTCATAGCTCGCCCACACTCTGGAAGCCCCACATCGGCGCAAAAGTGAGGAAGCTCACCAAATTCTTGTCGCTCTTGGCACTGCCATGTACGCCTTGCATTTGCAATGATGCTCATTGCACCTTCCCAAGGTGTTCCTTTTGGAGCTCTTTCGCACGCCAGCAACGCTTTTCGGGCCCTGTGAAGTGGCACCGAGAGGACGTGAGGAACAGCCCGCAGCGACGCCACCCAATCGCCACGATCAATACAGCGGTTCAAGTCCCTCACAGTACGTACTCCCATCTTGATCCCATCGTCTGTAGTGGTCGTGTGGTTATTAGTCCCACCTCCCACGCGTCCTGAGACAATAGCTGCGCATGCGTCTCGTAGTTCCAGACTTCCCTTCGCCACTTGTTGCGCCTCGTTGGCAAAAGGAGCGAAAATATGTTTCTCCCGTGCCACGAGATGCTCCACGCTAGAAACAACTCGTGCAGTATCTGCCCTAAACCGTGGAAGTTGTTGTAGCGCTATCAAGTAGGAGGAGTTACTGCACCGTTGTGCGAGAAACATAAGAAGAAACAATCGCATTGCCTCACGCTCGGCCAGTGGTAAGAGAAACACCACCTCAGCTGACACATAGAACGAATTCATGTCCTTCACTGCTTGAGGAAATTGATATGGCGATGCAGACAATGATGTTAACGGCGGCTTCAGGAGCATTGACCCCAATTCGAAGAGATGGCCGTGTTCCCAGAGGGAGAAGATGTAGGTTTCTGCAAGAGCCGCCACTATCCCAACTCCAGTCCCGTGGGCACCGCGAGTGAGTTCCACACCGACATCTGCACCGTCCCTGTTAGTCATCTGTGCAACAGCTGCGCTGTGATAGGCGTGTAGAAAGAGCAGCCGTTCTTCCACCATCCGCGATGTTGATGACTGTCGCGGCCCTTGAAAACCCTTCTGAAGATCGGCGAATACATTCTCCAACAGTAGGCTTAGACAGTCAACTAAGTCGGCTCGCCGAAGGGCGCGAGCAAGCGGAACAAGCAGTTGCGGCGTTCGGAGCGAAATGTCATTGCGGCACAATTCCTCGTACCAATTAAAAAGCTCTCGCACTCGCCGCCGCCCATTCGCATTCAGTGTTTTGTTTTTACTTAACCCTAAAGAAGCATCATCGATAAGATGCTTCAGCAATAAAACCTCTCGACTGTTGCCATGAGGACCAGGTGGAAACAGCTCCTGCAGCTCTCGCATAGTTCCCCATGCATTCAAGGTGGGAAGCCATCGGGAAACTTCATCCATAAAATTCCATTGCAACTTTAACACAGTGGTGATTCCCGTCAGGTTTTTAGTTGGATAAGCAATGAGCAATACAATGAGGCTGCTGCTCGTGATAGTTATGTCACTGCCACTGCCGATGCGAATTCCACACGAATATGGTGCACCCAACCCCAAAAAGGGTCCTGCTGGAAGAAGGAGTGTTTCCACAAGATCTCTTGCAATGTCGTGTCGGTGAAACGACCTGCAGTGGCTCAGCGTGCTTGTGCAAACCTCAATAAGGTTTTGCCAGAGGCTGTAACGCATTTCATGCTCGGTTTCATGGGCCAATTGCCACAGACCGTTCAGGAGCCATTCCCACCTTACAAATCGCTTCACCAAAATAGGCTGAATACCATGCGGAGGGTCTGCAACTGTCGGACCCCCCTTTGTAGTGTTACCGTGTGTGTACCTCATCGTACTATCATCATCATGCGACAACTGAACTGGGTTGGTGCTTCTGTCGCAGTGGTCTTCTTCGTGAAGGGCGCGCAGAATGGCACATGCACTGGAATCCCATTCTTCGGTTGCACTTTTTCTTTGCACTCTTTGCTGAAATTCGAGGCAGAGCAGTCGCTCACGCGTGACATCGACTGTCGCAAGTAAATCTGGAAGCCACCAACTCGCATGAAGTTGTAGCCGCAAGGCAAGCGGTATGGCCGTCCGAGGGCCAACTTCAAGTCCTTCGAGAAGAGTGTTCGTTAAACAATCCACAAAGCGGCGCCATGCCTTACGATCTGCGCTTGGAACCGTCGCAATGAGACTGTTGAGTAACTCAACGCAAAAGACGCCACTCAGAGGGATGTTGTCACCACCGTTGCGGATGCCAGTTTGTCGCCGTGGTGACTTGGAATTAACAAAAGGAGTGAGTACGCATGAGACATACTTCATAGCAAGCAAGTGACGCGTCCCACTCCCAATGTCATCGCTCAGTGCCCCCTCCACAACAGAAAGGAGCTGTTGCCCAACGGCGCAGCCCAACACATCAGTTGCCTCGGTCCACAAAATGGACTCCAGAACATGAGTCATAAGTGATGCATTCATCGCGGCCAAATCATACGAAACGACAGAGTGGAGGAACGGCTTCAAGAGATCATGATTCTGCAGCCGCAGCAAAAACATGTTTCCCAACGTTGTGTGGATAACAATGGGCGGGGATGAACCCTCAACAACATGCGACGAAAGATCACCATCAATGCCACTGAAGAAACTCTGGTACGTTACCAATCCCGACAGTATTGGGGTGCACTCCCGTAAGGAGCACGCCAATGGCACGGGAAACAAATGCGTAAGGAGAAATGGCAAGACAGTTGGTGAAAAAAACCCAGAAACCCCGGCTTTGCCATGACCAAAGAATATTAACTCCGCTACGCAAAGGAGGCTGTCAATATCAGTATTGTTTCTCTCGTTAGATGATGCGGCAATAATCTTATGTAGCAGCTCCTCTCCATACCCAACCGACATCAACGAGAAGACAGCATGCAGGGTAAGCTGAAGCTTTTCAAGTGATGACTGTGTTGCCTTACCGTCTGAGGAGCGCTCTACCAGGCGCAGTAAGCGGAACAGCATCTCTTTCACTTTTCCCTCAATCTCAGCATTTGGTCCAGTCGGCTCTGCCCCCTTGGTGGAGAGAAGCGCAGCGTAGAAGGCCGTCCACAACTCAAAATGCTCCAAGGACAGCTTGTTATCCATATCCTTATTTTCAACTGAGAACGATGCCATGGCCGAAAGGTCAAGGGCCTCCTGGGTTTGGCCATCCATAAGAAGTGTATAAACCGCTAACTTCATCATCAACATCTGGGATGGGGCAAAGTTAAATGCGGCAGAGAGAGAGCGCCAGACGGCGAAGGCGCTTTCTCCGTGACCATTGTACAGCAAAGCGGCGATGAGGAATTCACATGCTGTGTGTGTCGTAGAAGGGATTCCTGTTCCTACATTCTCCGCTTCTGAAGACGACAACGCTAATGATGATGTGAGGAGGCAGATGGCTTCTTGCCACTGGTTAAAATGGGAGAACTGACACATCTGGGCCCGCAACGCTGCAGCCATCTCCTGAGAATTTGTTTCCGGAAAATGGTGCAACTCCTTTTTGAGATTCGACAGAACGCCAGGCGCCGCAGTTGTGGTGGAATCACTTAAAGACATGGTGCCTTTATCCATGTATTCGCGGCATCCGCAAACGAGACTTCCTCTTGCCCCTACCACGTTTCGAGGGTGTGGTCGACAAGTGGACACAAAACGCCTGCGACATGAGATGAGGACTGCCACCATCGGTCACACCAACCAGTCACGCCTAAATACAGATGAAATGAACGACAACAAGAAGAAAAAGCGGCATTTCGACATGGCAAAACACATCCACCCATACAAGAAACATATATGCCAGAGAAAAGGTGTGCCAAGCATGACATCCCCTCAAAAATAAAAACAAAAAAGACGACTGTAACTACATTCAGAGATACATTCTCAACCACGGGCACACATCACACGACGTCACAGCGAGCACCCAAATGAAGCTCCACAACACCAGTGGAGGAAATGAAATCAAATACAAAACAGACAGCTGTCGTCGACATGTTTGCAGAACCGCACCAAGGAAGAGTCCTCTGTAGCTTTCGAGAGAAGGGAACAAATGAAGAAAAATACACCAGCAAACACCACGATTCTTCCTTCATGGCTCTTGCCTTATTCCTTAGAGTCGAAGGCTGCGCGTTGAGGTCTTCATTGTCCACTCCCGTTTTTCCTTCTGCCAGCGATATCTTCCTACACACACACTGGTCACACACATACACACAAAGAAAGCGAGACAAAGAAGCACACTTGCTCTCACTTAAACCTCACACGCTCCGGAGCTTTCACTGTGGCCAACGCCGCCTCCTTGCCAATGGTTTGTGTCATGTTCACCTTTTTGTACGCGTCTAAGCATGGAAGTCCAGATTGTGTTGTGTTCAAGTCGGGGCCACGGAAGGGCTCAGCTGTGATTTTCCCAGTCGTCCAAGGAGCGTGCGTTGGCATCGACCATTTAGTCCTTGTGTGCCAAGTGCGGAACGGTCGTGCTTGTTTCTTGACTCCAGTTTCAATAGACGGATCCGGGATCCACTCTATATCATTGATAATGCCCGCTGGCTTACCTGCATAGAATGCGCCGCATACGCGCTTTTTGCGTTTTTCCGGTTCCCCCTCTGGCATCCAAGGAGGTCGATCCTCAGGTCTGTGGTTCAGTGGGCCTGCCTTGAGGTGGTATATACGACCACGGTCAATCTTGTCGGTATACGGATCTGCTATCCACTCCGGTGCCTGACCAAACCCGTCCACACGCCCCGCAGCCATACCACCTTCACCACGCCTGGCATCACGTGAGGCGTCCTTGTCATCAAGGGGATCCGGCATGTAGGGATACGTGCTGAATAGGCCCCGCTGCAGAGGGCTCTTTTTTGTGAACATCACACTTTTCCCTGGATGCTTGTTGTGTTTTAGTGGCCTTCCGGGCTCAACATCCAATGGGATGTCCCCCAGTCCTCCAATCTGAGTTCCAGGCCCCTTTGCAAAGTCCATCCTGTCTCCACAAAGACGATCGTTAAGACGATTTGGCTCTATTGGAGTCTTGAAATCACCACCACCCCAGGGCTCGTATTGAAACTCTCCTCCAGAACGGAGATCATTAAACGGACAACTTTCACGCTCAAGGTGATCCTTTTCACAGTCGTAGAGGTGATGCCAGTTGGTCCAATGGCGTCGGCCATCCCAGTTTTTTGGCCGCAGATTGTGAATAGTCTCAAATCGGCCCTCGGTCATTTTCCCAGTTGATTAGATATTTTTTTTTCTCTTGATTCCTTGGAGATTCGAGGGAATACACCTCAAAGTACCCGCGAAAAGTCGCTGGATGCTGTCAAGTGGTAGTACCTCCAATGGACCCCGTTGTGCTGGTGTTGATATATGTATAAAGCAAAAATTCAGATCAGGAAAGGCAGGCACATTTTTATATAAGCCACATATCGTTTCCGATACATTCTCCGATTATCTATATAAAGCAAACGTTTACATATTTCAGCAACTCCTCTCCAACAACGCTAAAAGGAAATACTCACTCAAATGAAACCGCCAACCACTAGCACCAACCAAGAGAGAAAAAAAACAGTCCCCGCAAAAAAATTTTTTTTTTTACGGCCTCCCCACTTCAGCAACTCATTTAAACCCTTTCCCTTCCTGTAAGAAATGATCAGACATCGGCTGGGATTCTGCAAAAGATGGGAATGAGGGCTCGCCACCACCCTTCACCCGCAGAGTTCCAAGAGACTGCTGATCTGCTGGAGCCGCCAGAGGCTGATACTCCTCAACTGTCACACCTAAGCGTTTTTCGAAAGCAAACTCCTCAAACTGATGAATATAACTTTCAAGCGCTTCGCCAATAATTCCATCATGTAAGCCAAAATAAGGCATCTGAGCATCATGCAATGGACGAAATATATCCGTATACTCCGTTTGACCATTAATCATCTGCAAACGACGGTACCGATCCACTTCGATTCCAAAGTACTCTAAGGTTTTGGTCGCTAGCCGCGTCGTATGTCGTTTCACATCACGATTAGACCAATGCACCAGTCTAGATTTATCAAAGCTGGCAAGATAGTCGATAGCGTACTCGGCACCAGAACCAAAGGTGCCCAGAACCTTATCACCCATTGTAGCCAGCTGGGAGTCACTCGGTGGTTTTCCGGTGTAAATACTGTTGTGGATGGCAAATGAGGAGCATAACGACGGAACACACTGCGACAAAGCACGATGAACCCAAATAAGTTTGACGTCAGGGAATGCTTCGTGAAGCGCCTCAATGCTCAAAATAGCAAATGGACAAAAAAGAAGCCATTGTGTTTGCAATAAAGAGTTTTTGGTGCCATATTTTTGCTCCTCAATTGGATTGTTCACAGGATTCACCTCCCGTAAAACACACTCTGAAAAATGCCCACACCGTTTGTACCATTGGAATAGCTGACACACCCGCTTAAGGTGTTGATACACAACGGCCTGATCCTCCTGCAAGCACTCTAAAAGGTATTCATCTAGTCCATGAAGAAGACCCCAGGTGTACGACTGCGGACACATGAGCTGTAACGTAAGGTCGTCGTCAATCTGACTGGGATTAATTGTCCGGACACAACGAAATTCTGGGTAGAGGCGATTAAACAATCTAAACTGCCGATCAAATGCATCACGTCGCTCCACGTCAAGAATAAGTGAAGGTGAAAATGTGTCACTTTGCTTAAATGCGAGAAACAGACCTGACCGCGACAAAACATGCGCCGCCTGATGCCCATTACACCGAGGCAAGCCCATCACAACCACCGGTTCAACTATAGCTTCCTTTTTGATTTCATGGCCATTTAATCGGAAAGCTTCCTCTACTGCTAATCGTTCGGACAATGCCTGAACAAGACGTTGTCGCAACAATAACTTACCGTATCGTGAAGAACAAAGTTTGTCTGAACAGGCATTGCAAAGTTTTTTCCACCATTTGGAGTCCGGAACCGCCTCTGATGAGGATGGAACAGGGACATTGACCCTTTTGCAGGCGTCAGCCAAGACGGCGTCAAAGCAAAATGACTCAGTTGATGGGCAGCTTGAAAGACGGTTAAGGACTTTACGTGCTACAGGCACGCCTCGTGAGAGATCCCTCACCCCAGACATGGTTTTTCGAAACAACATTATCAATATTGCCTATTGGAAACCATAAAAATGTACCACAGAAACACTAGAGATTCTCCTAACTCCACCAGACCAGGAGAAACACAGCAATTGCAGTGAAATGAAAACAACAAACCCACCATTTTCTTTAAAGAAGAGAAAAAATATCGCAATGCAAACAAACAAACCGCATTTCACATATATCGACTTCATAAAAAAAATTTCCTAAGCGGCTTCTTATTAAACCTCGAAGAGTACATATCCTTAGCATTATAAGACGCAGAGGTGTAAGTTCTCTTTCATCAGCTAATCACATCTTGCTACAAAATCAATTACGAGAAACGAGCGCCTGCGTAAAAAGATGGTGAAACAGAGCCGTAAAACTGCCGCTGAAGCGAGAAGATAGTCGCAAGAACCAGAGCAGCTCCAAGGACAAGCACAAGCATTGTGGGTCCACGGGTGTCATCATATCGCATAGGCTCACGCATGTAAATTTTGTTCGCACGATCTCTGAAAATAAATAAAGAGTACACCATAAAGAGAATAGATACGGGAAGGAGGACCAAGCCAGCTAATTCGGCGGCGTTGCTTGACGTATCACCGAAGTTCAGAAGTGTCAAGGACATCATACCCACCATCACCGAGATGGAGAGCCACTTGAGAAATGTCCTCTCATTGGCAAAGAACGTTTTAGGATCAATTTTTTGCGGAACACAAATACGTTTATCATTCACAGAACCCGTAAGATTCCGACCTCCAGGGCCTTGCAGATCTTCGTACTTTGCATCACCATCGGCTTCCCCGTCCGCCCAGGGCTTTGACGAGCCCGCAACACAACAACACACCGACAACCCCTTTCCAAATAAGTTAGACATCCTACCTTTAATATGACACAAAACGAAACGAAACCAAAACAAGAAAGCAACAATACGAAGCGTAACTTTATCAATTCAACAAACGCCAATAATATACACCGTTAAAGTTGCCGCTCTTGTAGACTTTTTAGATCGATAACAAGGGGGAGAGGCGGAAGACATATAAAAAAAATGTATAGAACAAAACCTCGACCCTCTGAATTCATGATGCATGCTGAACCAGCACCCCCAAGAACACCGAATCACACAGTTTCTCGGAAACTAAAAAAAGTGTGGCTCCTGGAAGTCTCCCGACCACAAGGCCCCGCCGCAAGCAGGAAAACAGTGTGTGTGGGGAGGAAATAATAATAATAATAAAAACTAAAACTCGGCTCTAACCCCGACGGCTTGAAGACTATAAATTACTACAGCCAAGAAGGAAACAAATACCACGGATTCGCAGATGGAAATGGTGAAAAAAAAATTTCCCGCATTCCCTTAAAAAGTTTTTTAAAAAAGGCACAAAACAAAACACCAATTGACGGGTGCAAAAGACAGCCCCCCAGCAGCTGTCAGGTTTTCATAGCTTAACAGCCGAAAAAAAAACTCGTTTAGTGCTAATCCCCCCTTCCCAACAAAAGAAGAAAGAGCCACAACTGTCACACTCTCACCGTTGGATTGAAAAGAAAATCACGGTTTTCTGCCAAAATACAGGTTTCAAAGAACAAAAAAAAAAAAAAAAA